TAGCCCATAGCTTCTCTGAATTACTCAAGCTCCTTTACCACGACAAGGCAGCAATCTGTGAAAGGGTCAGTTATAGGCAGCTTTAAAAGAGAGTGCAATGGGGGAAATGGAGCTAGCTGTGGCAAGTCAGGATGGTGGCTACAGGCAGCCTTTTGGGAAGTGGTGTCCCACTGATTGAATGCTAGTTGTTCAGCAGCAATCGCTTCTGAGAAGCCTGTCCCTGCATGTTTGGTTTGGGGACCTCCTAAAGACATCTATGTTTTGGCTACCATGGGAAATGGGATTCTGCACGAGACAGGCCATTGATCTGATCCAGAAGATGTCTTGGTCCTCTCTCTGTGTCAGTTTCCCTCCTGTTGAGATCACCTTGGAGGTCCCTACTCCTTGTTCGCTCATCGGCCTGTGATATTAGAACATACGTGGAAAGGAGCATAACATTGGTGATCACCCTAATATTATCACCCACCTCCATCAAGTACCTCTATGACCTTTTCTTTACACCTTTGGGAGCTTCCCGCTTGAGGTCATCCAAACGCTCCCTTCACGGAAACACCCCTTTGGAACAGCCAGCTCCAGAGGTTACGAGGAACAAGGCATAGAAGGCTGGGCTGTAATTTCCATCTGTCCTAGCCAGCATAACCAGTAGGGACAAAATGATGGGAATTACAGTCCAGGCACGTGGGGGGGGGAGAAACTGCCCATCCCTGTGCTAAATCGCAGGAGTCCATTGTTTCTGATCCCTCTTCCTTGACCTCTGTTTTTCTCCCTATCATCCCCCCCCCAGGCTACTTCTTCTCCAAATTGTATGACTTGCCAACTTTTGATGGCGACTGGACTAAAGTTTTTTGAAAACCGTGGTATTAGAAAGGGAAATGACGCCCATTGAGTGGGGTTTCCTTGCATGGATTTCCATCCTTTCAAAGTACATGCCAATGCAGGCCCAACTTTCTGTGGTCTATCAAGACTGCCCTCACGGGTGACAGAACAAAACTGAGTCTGTCTCCGTTCAGTTCTGTGACACTTTTTTTTCTTTCTTACAGGTGTACCAGGCTTTTTTCTTGGACCTCCTCTCTTGGGACCTCCTTTTGCAGGGCTAACAAAGCTGTCTACGCGTCGGTCATCGTGACTGTCTTGCTGGCCGTCCTCTCAACGTTCCTCATGGGCTTCTCCTTCCAAAGACCTGCAGAAGCAGCTCCTGCCGGAACAGGGGATGCCTGGACCTCCGTGCAGCAGCTCCTGTGGCCGTACACCGGTTTGCAGCACCAAGGTCCACCGCCCGTGTGAAATTCACGGGTGACGATTAGAACAGATTTCTGTGGACTATGAAGCTGGGGGACCAGTTGGGTGGGTGGTTTTTGAAGGGGTGGGTGCCAAGAAACAGAAAACTCCAGAGTTTAACTACAACACACTTCAAGGTCCTGTAAGTAGAATAATGCAACTTCTGAGACAGAATATCTTAATATTTTTGGTGACTTAGCTGTCACTAGTTCCTTTCTCACAGTGCCGGTCAAAAGATATTGGTATTCAAGTTTTCCTGGCAATGCAAAAATATATCTTCCGAATGACTACTTTTTAAAATGTCGTGTCTTTCCCTCCCCCCGATCCTGCTGGGTATCTTGGAAAATATATTTTAAGAAATCTTTTGGAGTGAATATAAATGGTTTAAAATGTATTTATTTATTTTTAAAATATATAAATCTATATCTATCAGAAAGTGTGAGCCTGTCACAGACCTTCAACCTTTTCTTTTAGGGACAAGCCTGTCTTTAACTCAATAAAGTTCTGATGTGGCACCTGTCCTCTTAAGCATATGTGAGCAGCTTGGTAGCGAGGAGCAGCTGGTACACCGTATCGATGAAGAGGCAGTGGGCACGGCTCACCCGCTGCAGGCCTTCTTCGCTGCTGGCGTCTCTGATCAGGTGGTAAAGCGTCGAATGAAACTCTGTGTTTTCTGCAATATTTCTGGAGAAGGCATCGCTGTCCTCGGTGATCTCGAGCCGCTGAGCTCTTTGCCCGTTGAACATATAGAGGGCCCAGTTTTCTTCCTGGACGGGTCCGTCTGTGAGGTGTTCACAGGCCTGCCACAGGAGAGGGAAAAGCAGATACCAGCTCGGTTATGGCTAATCATATGCTGGGCTCTGAACCCTGGTTTAGTTCCCTTAAATGAAAATCGGCGAAACCTATTCACTCTTAAACTCAGTTTTCCCAGGGTTGATTCATGAAGCTAGAAGTCAATTATATATGCACAAGAGAGGTTCCCAATATTTTGGGACTGTTGAACACCTTACTTTTATATGCAACTGGATTTCAGCTGTAGGATGTGAAAGTCAGAGAGAAAGAGAATTGTTATATATATAACCGCCTAGAGTGGTCTTAACCGACCAGATAGGCGGGATATAAATAAAATAAAGAAAGAAATAAAATAAATTTCACATCCTACGGCTGAAATCCAGTTGCATACACACACACATATATATACACAATTCTCTCTCTCTCTTACTTTCACATCCTACAGATGAAACCCAGTTGTACATCAGAACTAGCATAAACCTGTTGAATAAGGGGAATTTACAGAGCAGCTGACACACCAGATTCCCACCAATCCAGAGGAGCTACTTGAATTGTGATTTAGGATGAGATTTCAGCCAACGTGTCTATACACCTCCCTTTTCTGGGGTTCATTGTTGGAAAGCTACACAGCACACAGAGAAGCTAAACTGACAGAAAGGCACAGATAGGAATAATCCACGTTCACCTTAAAAACCACGTTGTCCTCTCCGCTCTCCGAATTCCACTTGCTCCAGCCGAAAGCGAAGGCAGAAGCGACGAGAGCCATTTGCTGATAAGAAGTAACTTCTGCTAGAAGAGCCTGTGTAAGCAAGAGGATGAAAAACAGGAAAGTGATGGGGGGAAAAAGCCATAATCCCAGTCTTTCTCTTAAATATGAAGAAGGGCCGTAAAGGAGTCCAGACTAAGGAAACCACTGCTGGTGCACCAGCTCAACGGAAGGCAAGCACCCTTAAAATATTTACACGTGTCCCCAGTAGAATCCAACAACCAGGTAGATGAGACACACAGTTGCTCAATATGGGAACTCTGTCCCATCGAATTCAAGTGACTCTTGCCCCCAAGTCCACATACACAGGGCTGTGGCTTTAGGGATGGGTCATGAACGTGCCTTGAGTTCCAACGGCCTCAGCGCAAGGGGCAGAAAAATCAAATATCTTGGAAACCCTCAAGCAGTTACACAGTTTCTGAAAGGCCTGGATTAAAGAACATTGATTCTTAAGTTCCAGAGGGCTGTCTCCTATCCCCATTCATCCTATCCATTATCCTGTTGCCAAGAGTGCCCCAAATATACTCATTTATGTATTACATTTTAAAACAAAGGATGCAGAAGTGAAGAAGGCAAAAGGCTAAGCCAGCTAGGAAACAATGACAATAAACGGGACGAAAACTCCAGCAGCAGATAAAACCAAAGTTAAAATCAACATCTCCAGTAAAAAGGTTCCTAAAAAGTGTGGGGAAATAATGGGGATTCTCACTTGGCATTAAAAAATAAAAACAAAAGAAGGAAGTAAGAAGAACATAATGTAGGTACCAGGTGAGCTTTTATCATGGGAACTCTCTCCGTGGGGGTGGGGAGTCCACTGAAAAGGCCCTCTAATACTCTTATGTATACCCCTTAAGATAGTTCTTTGGTGCTCCCGGAGTATCTTTTGCAACCAAACATCTCTTGGAAGGCTCCAGGAGCAGTGGCTTTCCAATCAGAGCTGCTCCCCTCCCCAATGAAGTCAACATTGGACTACCAAATACATTTGGTTTCAGTTTTGTCTAGTTTTTGTTCATTTTTCTGGGTTGGTGGGGCTCAGGTGGTACAGAAAAGATAGGAAACGGCCCTGTGCACCATCTCAGTTTTTGGGAATGGTAGAGAAATAAGAAAGGAGAGCCTTTAGATAAGGTGTCCCCAAACTGTTTTAAGGATTTCAACAGTGAAAACTGACTCCTGGAATTACGCCTGCAATTAATTGTTGAAGCCTTAAGCCAGAGGGGGAAGCTCCCAGCCATGTCTCAATTCAGTAGGACCCCTGTATCCACAGGATCAGTGCCCACAGTTTCACTTATTCACAGTCTGAAATGTTAAAAGAAAAAAAATCCAGAAAAAGCCTATTATTTCCTGTATTACCAGAAATGGCCACTAGAGGGAGTCAGAGATTATGCTATGAATGCTTGTTAGTAAAGAATACTGTATTTTTCCATTTATAATACCCCTGTTTATAAGACACTCACCCCCCTTTCCTAATCCAAAATTTAAGAAAACTTAGCTTTGAGGATTCAGGACGTCGGACATTAGAAGGCACTGGTTGAATCTGAGCCTACAGGCTCCACCTCCAACGAGGTGTGTTCCAATTGGTTTGTACCGCATCAGCTGACGTCAGTTCCATAAGGCTCATGATTGGAGGAAGCTAAGTCTCCTGACTGTAGGAAGCTAAGCCTCGGGACTGAAGGAAGCTTATTTACAGAGGCAAGGTATGTGCCGTTTTGTTCTCTCCTCAGCTGTCTCAGTTTACTTCTGTGTAAAAGACACCTCTCAATTTTTAGTGTAATAATTTTAGAAAAAAGTAGTGTCTTATACACGGAAAAATATGGTACATAGTGTGGTCTCTGCCACCCCCTAGTGGCCATTCCTGGTAATGCATGTGAAAATATTTTTTCTCTCTTTTTTTTTCCTTTTACCATGCTAGTATTACCTTTTTACCTTTTTACCATGATAGTGTTTGCTAGTATCCATGGTTTTCAGTATCTGTGGGGGCCTGGAACCAATCCCAGCAGATATAGGGGTCCAAATGTATTACGCTGAATTCAGTAGTAGTCTGGGCATGAGATGACCCTAGTTTAGGGCCCATACAGAGATGTAATAATTTCCTTTCACCCTACGATCCCCACCACCACCGCTCCTCAGCCATGAAAATTTGCAACAGACTGCATTTTGGCAATTAAGGACTGGA